GATCACTCTCTCCTCAGGACGGAGAGAGAGTCCACACTTCACCTCACCTTGGCCGACATGTCAGTCCCGGCAGCCAAGCCCACGAGAGTCTCATGACACCAGCTGGAAACAACACGGCCTCTCCCGGCCGGAGACTACTTGATGCTCATCCCTGCTTGTGACAAGGTGAGCAGCTCATCCTGGCCTGTTCTCGGGATGTATTTTCTGTCTCTCAGGATGTTCCACATAATCTTGCACACATCCAAGTTTTTACAGATGTGTTTCATGAATCTACACATATTTATTATTAGTATTCTTCAAAATGATATCACAAGTCAGATTAATTTATAACTAGGAATTTGATAAGGTAACTCTAGCTCAATTATTTGGCTTTCCAAATTACTCGTTTAACGAATATTTAAGATTTAATTATTTATGCACACAAGAGCTGGGGTACAGGCCGTAGATGCCGGGGTTGAGAGGATTCACCAGAGACAGAGCAGGGAACAGAGCAGGCCGACTGACAAAATACACTGCTGAGGGACACAGCAGGCCAGTCAGGAGAGGTCTGAGGCACATGTCAGTCAGCTCCCTGGCCGGCTGGGAGCTGACTGACAAGTCGTGCACAGTGGCTGGCAGTAGTTTGAGAGCACTGTGTTTAACCCCTGGGCCACCAGGGAGGCCCCTTACCTTTAGTTTGAGGACAGAAGTGTGACTCCTTCATTTCCCCCCACTTTTAATAAGCAAAGCTTTCGTTATTTGGGGTCTTTTGTGTTTCCATATGAACCTCAGTAATCTTTGTTCTGTTCCTTTGAAGAATGCCATCGGGATATTTATTGGGGTTGCAGTGAATCTAGAAGGGGCTTTGGGTTGGATGGCCCTTTGGACAATGTTGATTCTTCCAACCCATGAGCTGGGTGTCTCTTTCCATTTCTCTATGCTTTCTATTATTTTTTTTCACAATGTTTGATAGTTTTCCTTGTAAATGTCTTTCCCCTCCTCTGTTAAGTTTATTCCCAGTTAATTTTTTGAGTGTGCAACTGTAGGTGGCATGGCTTTGTTAATTTCCTCTTCTAGTTCATTATTTGTACTTAGGAAGGCATATGTTTTTCAATGCAGAGTTTGGTGGCATTACATACACTCACTCTGTCGTGTAACTCTCATTTCTGAAACCAGGGTGTCCCCGAAGGCTCACATACATCCCCAAAATAGACCTGCATTCTTTCTGCTCATTGCTTAACTGTTAACAAAGTCAAACTATTCTTTGTCTTCTAGCCTGGCTACATTACCAAGATGAACATGTTCTTCCCGAGCAGTTCTGCTTCTCCAGAGAAAGAGAACCTCGCAGCCCAAGAGCGGCCATCCACCTTGGTCTTATGGGTACACTCCCTTTCATCCAGGGGATGAACTTAGGGGTGGGGGCGACCAAGGGAGATGGCACAGACCTGCAAGTAGCACACACCTCTTGTCCCCATATCCGAAGGATAAGCGCCCCACACAAGAATGGACCCATAGCCTCCCTGCTCCGTAAGTCTCAGACCATGAAGCTGTCCACAGCCACTGCAGCAAGAACTCCATCCCCAGCCAGGGAGCTGACCCACAGGGCGCAGTACCTCCCCTGTCTCCCCACGGCTCCCCTCAGCAGTGGATTTCAGTGGATCTGCCTGTTCTGCTCCCCACTCGTCTCTGGGGAGTCCTCCCCCACCCCGGTCCACTCCCTGCCCCTGGAGCTCAGGGTTCCTGTAGTGTCCTCACCACTGGAGCATGGACAGTGTCTCTGGGCTGTGCTGATCCTGCGCGTCCTGACCCGGGGATGTGGCTGAGCTGGGCAAGGTCCCCACGGAGCACAGTGAAGGCCATTCCTGGGCCTCCGCCGACAGCATCACCACCTACTTGGGCCGCCCACCCATCCACAGAGGCATCACCCGCCACACCCCTGGACGCCCCAACACACCTGCAGGGGGACGTGACACGAGTCACCTGAACCCCTCACCTTCAGAGCAGAGAGTGACCCTTGCTGCAACAGCCCACATGGGTAACGTCACAGCAACAGACACTTCCAGGAAACGTGGCACTAGCAGAGGAGCGTTGTCTTAGCAAACCCTGCAGGCCTCTTTGGACCAGGTCTGAGGTGAAGGCTGAGGGGCCCGATGCCATTTTTAATGGGCGCTCGAGGACACCTAGGAGCCTGTAGCATTGTGGAAAGCGGCCTGCAGCCTGGGGGTGAAAACCTCAGCGACCTCCCATGGCGCGTTGAGGAATATGGCCCGTGGCCCCGACACTCCAGGTGAAGTTTGAAGGGACCAATGTACCTCCCCCTGAATCAGAGAAGATGCTCTCAGGGGACAGACACCCCGTCAGTCACTGACTTGGAAACACAGGACTGGGGCTCTGGCGGTAGAGATGTTCCTGACGGAGGAAGCTGCGTAGAGGGCGCAGGCAGGGAGGAGCAGGCGCCCAAGTCCCAAATCCATGATCAGAGAAACAATCCCCGACGGACGGGCCCCGAGCCCAGCCCTGCTGAGAGGACGCCACGGAGCCGACAAAGGGCACGACTGCAAATCCACAGACAGAGGCTAGGTGTGGACATGCAGGCGAGTAACGGGGGCAAACTCAGAGGGCCTCGGAGCCTCAGGAGAGCCCTCAGGCCAAGCCCCTCAGCAAGAGACATGCGGCAGAGACCCTCACGACCAGCCCCCGCTCCCTGCCCGCCACAGCCGTGGGAGCCCCTGCTTCTCGGCCACAGCGGCCACCCTTCGGGACCGTTCTGCTCAGGGAGCTTTCTTGTCCTTACTCCTGTGAGTAAATGTCTGGCTCTTCTGGAACTCTGGGCTCCACTTGGAACTACTTTCACACAAAAGAGAAAAAACAAAGAAGAGCATACCCGAGGCCTCAGACTCCGGGCCTGCTGCTCAAACTCTCTGCTCGGCATCACCACAGCACCAAAGAAACACACCAGAAGGTGCCCAGGGCCGCTGGGGGAAGGGGGTAGCGAGAGTGACATCAAGGACTTCCTCGGCTACCACCTTCCACGCCGACCACTCACCCCAAGGTATGAACTGACTCAGACAAAGACCACATTCAGGGCACGGCCAGCAATGGCGGAAGGGATTATGTTCAGAACAAAGAGAGAAGGAAAAAGACTTGGATTACATCATCACCTCCAGGAGGAATACAGGGAGACGAAGAAAGGGTCAGGGGAAAAATACAAAACTAGCAGGCAGACAGAGCTGAGATGCCAGCAGGGGACAGGGCAGAAGAGGGGCCAGGAGGGGAGGAGGAGTACCAGGGCCTGGGGTGAGGGGTCACAGGGGCGGTGAGGACAGGACATTTACAAGAATTATAAAGAAGGGGAGCAATTCAATAGTGCACAAAGATGAACAACAATTTAATAAAAAAATTTCAAAAGGCAAGAATCCTTTCCTTTAAAAATAATATAGGGGCCTCTGTTGGCGCAGGGGTGAAAGTCTCAGCGCTATGAAGCTGTTCTCAGTACTGCAGACACAAATTCGATCCCTGGCCAGGGAGGTGACCCACATGGCACAGTAGACCTCTCCTGTCTCCCCACTGACCCCTCAGCAGTGGATTTCAGTAGATCCACCTGTTGTGCTCCCCACTCTCTCTGTGGAGAATCCTCTCACCCCCTCATACCTCTGGCTTGCACCCCAGTTCTTGTATGCAGAAGTAATCTTCCAAAAAAATTCCCTCATTTTGTAGAACTGGGGTATAGGCCAGAGGTTCGGGGGTGAGAGGATTCACCAGATACTGAGTGTGGCGACAAACAGGCAGAACCACTGAAATACCTGGCTAACAGGAGCAGCGGGTGACACAGGAGAGGCCTGCTGTGGCCTCTAGCATATGTGGGGCGGCTCCCTAGCTAAGGCTGAAACCCTGGCCAGAGCAGGCAATAGCGCTGAGACTTAACCCCGAGGCCACCAGGGAGGCCCCGAGAAACTTTCATCATGAAAGGTAGGTAAAGACAGCTGCAGACCTCAACCTATAGCCGAGAGCACACAGTTCAACATTTCCTTCTAGAGGAGGACATTTTGGTGGTGAGCAATTCCAGCATCGGGGGGCACCACAGAGACTTAGAGTACAGGACAGAACGTGACGACTAAGTTAGAAAACCCAGAGAGATCACTTACCCACGCAACATGAAGTGTGCCATGTAGATAGACAGCTACCGTGAACATGAATAGCATCGCCCAGGAACTTAAGGGGATACTAGAAGCAACAGCAACAGGAACAGAGACATCATCACTGCATGAACTTGGGAGAAGAGTGAACCGGGTAACTCCACGCAATTAGGAGTGAAACTGTATATCAGTTCCCATTGCTCTCAACTGAATGATGTGGTTTGAGCTCCTAAGTTTGAATACTTTTTTAAAGATTTTTACTTATTCAAGCATACAAGAACCAGGGTACAGGCCAGATGTGTGGGAGGGTGAGAGGATGCACCAGAGACAGAGCGGGGAACAGAACAGGCAGACTGACCGAAATACACTGCTGAAATACACGCAGCAGGCCAGACAGGAGAGGTCTGCTGCACCATGGGGCTGCTCCTGGCCGGCCAGGGAATCAAACTCCCACCGCAAAGGCCACGAACAGCTTCACAGCGCTGCGCTCAAACATCTGCACCAACCAGGGGAGGCCTGCCTGCACACTCTTGACATTCTTAGCATTTCCCTCCAGTGTGGATTTTGTCATGCCTAGTGAGGGCTGACTTCCTGAAAAGTTTTCCCACATTCTTCACAATCATAGGGATTTTGTCCAGTGACATCTCTGATGTCCAGTGAGAGCATGCTTACTGGAAAAAATTTTCCCACACTCTTGACACTCATAGGGTTTCTCTCCAGTGTGACTTCTCTGATGTTTAATGAGGTTTGACTTACGGGAAAAAGCTATCCCACACCCTTCACAATCATAGGGTTTCTCTCCAGTGTGACTTCTCTCATGTCTAATGAGGTTTGACTTACGGGAAAAAGCTTTCCCACACTCTTCACAATCATAGGGTTTCTTACCAGTGTGACCTCTCTGATGTTCAGTGAGGGATGATTTCCAGTGGAAAGTCTTCCTACACTCTTGACATTCATAAGGCTTCTCTCCAGTGTGAATTCTTTGATGGTTACTGAAGGCTGATTTCCAGTGGAAAGTCTTCCTACACTCTTGACATTCATAAAGCTTCTCTCCAGTGTGACTTATCTGATGGATACTGAGGGATGATTTCCAGTGGAAAGTCTTCCTACACTCTTGACATTCATAAGGCTGCTCTCCAGTGTGAATTCTCTGATGGTTACTGAGGGATGATTTCCAGTGGAAAGTCTTCCTACACTCTTGACATTCATAATTCTCTCCAGTGTGACTTATCTGATGGTTACTGAGGGATGATTTCCAGTGGAAAGTCTTACCACACTCTTGACATTCATAAGGCTTCTCTCCAGTGTGAATTCTCTGATGTTCCCTGAGGTAAGACTTACTGGAAAAAGCTTTCCCACACCCTTCACATTCATAGGGTTTCTCTCCAGTGTGAATTCTCTGATGTCTAATGAGGTGTGCCTTACTAGAAAAAGCTTTCCCACACCCTTCACATTCATAGCATTTCTCTCCAGTGTGAGTCCTCTCATGTAGAACAAGAACTGACTTACAGGAGAACACTTTCCTGCACGCCTCACATTCATAGGGTTTCTCCCTTATGTGAGTTCTCTGATGGACACTAAAAGCAGATTTCCACCTGAAAGTTTTCTTACATACCTGACACGGGTAGCGCTTCACTCCCGTTTGAGATTGTGGATGTAAAGTGAGGGCAGTCTTCCATGAGTAAGTTTTCACATAATCGTTAGAGCCAAACAACTTCACTGCAGTGAGATTTCTCTGGTATCCCCTCTGTAAGGAAATCTCAGAGGTGCCCCCACACTCATCAGGTTGATCGTCTGCTTGTGTTTTCTGATGTTCAGTCAGAACAGAGGTTTTAGAGGCCGCTTCACCATATCTCTTATATCCAAAACTACTCTTTCCTAACTGGGTACTCTCACGCTGATAGGTGTGAAATGTGTTGCTGTGACTGGCCCCACTTTCATAACATTCCTGCTGCTCATGTTCAACATACCTAGGAGGATTCAAATGCACTGGAGTCATATCCGCAGCTCTCCCCTTTTCATTACAACTGCAGGGAGTCTGTCCTTCTTGGGTTCTGTCTCGGACAACGAAAGGTACCTCATCACGGATGTCCCTGCACTCATTGCATTTACGGGCAGCCCCTTCCGGAAGGGCTCCTTTAGGTGTAAATATTGTTTCTACACTCACAACTTTTCCTTGTTCATGAAATTCAAAAGGCTGTTGAAAGTTCTGAATCACCTGGTGACTAAGGTGCTCAGGATACTTGATGGGTTCCCTCATTCTACTAAAGACCTCCTTATTCTCTCCAGCATGCTCTTCATGAGGCTCACCAGGGATCATCATGGTCCTATGTATAGTAAAGTTCTCAGGCATCATTGCTGAATTGCGTTCATTTTTGATACTATGGTTCAAACAATGAATTGAGTCCAAATTGCTTTTTTCCATTAAGTCAGTTCTCTTGTTGGATGGTATTTTGCTGCTGGTGGTAAGAACTTGCCACACATGTCTGCCCTGATTTGCAGAGCTGTCCTGAGTCAGGTGATCCACAGTATGGACATCTAAAGTGAGATAAAAATGATCATGTCTCTAAGCATTTTGAGTGAATACTACTAAGTGGCACAAAAGCTCCTGTATTACAACACAATTTACAGGTATTGCTTTTCTGATTCATGCTTTTTGCCCATAGCAAATTATGGGGAGAATAGATTTTTTGGTATTTTTTTATTTTAGCATAGAAGATCTGGGGTGTAGGCCAGAAGTGCAGGAGTGGGGGCGCTGTAGGGGAGCGTGGAGACAGTGTTTCGAACAGAACAGGCAGACTGACTCAAATACACTGCTGAGGGGAGCAGCGGGTGAGACAGGAGAGGTCTGCTGTGACAAAGTGGGTGAGCTCCTTCACTGTGGATCAAACTCAGGCCATAAGAGTGAGAGCTAAGAGACTTAATCCCTAGGCCTCCAGGGAGGCCCCAATTAACAGATTTTCTAATGCCAAACCAGGATAACAAAGCAGTAAAACTAATTTCATAATGGCTTTATAAATCATAAATATTTGGTGAAAATAGTCCTTTAACTAGAGTTGTCGATTTCAACCAGAAGCATTTCACCCAACATAGATCCTACACACCTTCTTTCTTAGACTGACCCTGTGCAGCTCTTGCAGGTACTTTCTGAATAACCAAGCCCTACAGAGGCCATGGCTTTCCCGGAAACCTGTGGACTGAGTGACCCAGTCATTGCCCAGGTACTTTAAGCAAGAGGCCTGCTGAGACACAAGGACTCTGCTTCTCCATTTCCTTAGTTTTTCTTTCGACCCCAGCCCTGGCCACGGTCACCTGCAGAGGTTCTCAGAGGCATGCACATCCCTCCACGGCAGAGACCTGTCAGTTATTATTTAAATATCATATCACATAAGGCTCAGAATCCTAATACATGCAGCAAACTCCACCTCATCATTGTGTCCCACATTCCTGCTGATAGGAAAAAAGTTCTGCATCCAGCCTGTGGCTATCAGTGTTAAAGTCTTTTCCCACATCATTCTGAGAGCAACACCCTGGTGTTCTCAATGCACTCCCTGGAACCTGTGTTTCTGCTTTGTTCATAGCAGCTCCAGTTTTTATGTCGTGTGTGACTCTCAGCTACATCACACTGTCATCGATTCCTTTACTTTCCTCCCAACGATTCCCACGAGAAGGTGGAATTGCACAGGTCGCACTGTTCCCCAAGGTATGAGCCCCAAACCTGAAACTCTTGGTGCCATGGCTTTAGAAACCACCACTTCAGGTTCCCCCTCCCAAGTCACAGAACATCCCTTCCCACGCTGAACAATTTCTGGTTCCTCCTCAGCCTCACAATTACTATGTAGGCGGTCACAAGGCTTGCCCCTGAAAAACTACTCATGTTCTAAATAACTCTCCAGTCAACGCCACTCTATCCCTTTGGAGTTAGTCACCTGCAAAGTGACATCTCCAATAGCAATACACAGCCTCTAGCCCAGACTGCAGAGAGAACTATAGATATGACATGTCAGTGCAAGCCATTCGCCTCACCTGAGCTCTGAAAGAAAATAATTAATCTCTATAATGATGTGTATGGAGCACACACACAAAAACAACATCCTCCACTTTGTTTCACTCAGGCTGGTCAAACACCCTCTGTGGCTTTACCTCTCTATTAATAAATGTATTTATTATATTATATATTCTTTCCTCACAGCGTGTATAACTTCAGAAAGTAAAGATCATTTCTGTGAGTACTGTTGCTCTCCCCTCTCATAGAAAATTTAACACTGGCTAAACTTCCCATGAACACACAGAATAAAAAAATTCCTGAACAGGTACCTAAAGAAAATAGTCTATGAGAAAACACTAAGAGAGAGAACAGAGAAATGTGATTACTGCAGAATAATCCCCACAGTATCAGGACTGCATACTGGTTTAAGAACACAGACAACCATCATTAAAAGAGCAGGACAAAATTCACCAGACAGCAATATTTTGTAACTGAATAAAGAATCAGTTTGATATATGCAGACACACTGTCCAAGGTTGGACACTGGAAAAGCACCTCAGTGTGGCCAGTATCACTGGCCACACTCCCAGCCTCCTCTCAGCCTCCCGGCCTGGCAAGCACTGACTGACCTGAGAGGTCCTGGTTTAGGGGATCGTCCACAGACCACGGCTGTAATCCCTGCTCCGACCTGATGCTCTCCTCAGGATCGGTAACACAATGCCCTGTGATGAGAAACAGCGTTGGTCTTTGATCAAGTTCAACTTCAGTCTTTGAAAACTAACAAATGCAGTGTGAAGAGCTGTGCAAAAGAGGCCAATCTGAATCTTTCCAAACAAAAACTGAAACACCCACAATGTACACTGCCTGCCATGTTCAACCTCACCAACACTCAGTTTCATAAGCAAGTGCACACTTATCAGTGCAGAAGACAGCATTGCACTAGAGTGCTACACTGGAGCTTCCTCACCTAGGGACACCAGGTGACTGCAGGTCTCCATCATCACATCCCAGTACAGGGTCCTCTGAGCTTCACTCAGGTACCGCCACTCCTGCCACGTGAAGTTGACAGCCACGTCTTCAAATGACACCGTCCCCTCTGAGGGAACATTTCTCCTCATTTCAGGGCTGGCAGCCTGGGTCAGACAGAGCAAGTGCAAACACATCTTATTTTGTGGGTCTTTGGTCCTGTATAGGATATATAGAATTCGCAGTTGAAAGAGCCTTGCCTCTACATTCACCCGTTCGGTCCTAAAAGTAGAACTATAGCTTATTGTATAAATTTGAAAGTGTCTTATGATTGTAAGAATAAAAGGATGAATAAAATTTGCTCCTTGAGGAGCTGATAGCCTGGCTGGCAGGTGTAACAGACACACACCCGGAATCATGCGCTAAAGGAGCTTCATAACAAATGAAAAGCATGTGCAACTTTGTGCCAATATTTTACTCCTGTACCTCAAAGCCTGGTTATCTCCAACTCACAGTAAACAAAAACTGAACCCGAAACCAGAATGTTCAAGCAATGAGGGGGGAAAAAGCACAGGTAAGAAATGTTCAACTACAAGCAAGTATAAACCAGACACATACTATGGGTGGGTAGAGGGGTGGAGGGATTAGGGTCAAAATAAGAGGGGGTGGGATGTATGGGGACTATAACCAAGATGAAAACGCATACATTGTGCAAAAATGAAAAATGTAAAATATATATAAAATAATTTTTTAAGAAAAGATGTTCAGCTGACAGAGTCAGAAGAAGACAGAACAGGTCATCACTTTTAAAATGGAAGGACAAAGGGGAGGAGAACTCGGTAATAACTTGGTGGCTGAGGTACGAGGAATGTTTTCCTAATGTGCTGTCCGCATTACGGGCTGGTAGACACTGGTATTCCACACGCAACTGGACATGTGTCTGATAGATCAGGAATTCTAAGCTGAGAACAGAAATTTGGGAATCAGGGCCTCCCTGGTGGCACAAGAGTTTAAGTCTCAGCACTATGAAGCTATCAGGAGCCACTGCAACACGGATTCGATCCCCAACCAGGGAGCTAGTCACAAGGGGCAGCAGATCTCTCCTGTCTCCCCGCTGCTCCCCTCAGCAGTGTATTTCAGTCAGTCTGCCTGTTCTGCTCCCCACTCTGTCTCTGGTGAATCCTCTCACCCCCTGCACCTGTGGCCTACACCTGAGTGTTTATATGCATACATAAAATAAATATTAAAGAAAAGAAAGAATTTGGGAATCTCCAGGATATTATTGATAGTTTTCATCACCGTAGGGGAGAACACGGTGACCACAACAAAAGGTATCAAAAGAAGAGGAAAAACAACTAGAAGAGACAAAAATTTCTTTTGGAGAAAGAAAAAAATAGATCATAGCAATGAAAGAGTTTTGAAAAATAAGACACTAGGTATAAGAAAACAAACATCTTAAGAAATCTGTAAATTTATTCCATCATTTCATTTCCTGTGTAGTAAACCCTATGTACCTCCACATACATATTGAATAGGAACCTATTAAAATAAATTCCTATTTGTAATAGCTAAAAAAGGATTCAGAGGATTTTTTCTCAACACAAAACAAGTCCTTGACACAGCCACAGGTGACATCAACATTCCCAGTAAGAGGAGGACTAACAAAGATGCTCAGTGTCCCCTTATTCACAATGGGTTCAGGTGACACTACGTAACAACAAAAAGACAACATACATAAAAATGGTCATAACTAGTTATAATTCATTCTTGGAAAACTAATGAAAGCCACAGTAAAGCGACTCTGGAAAGGAAAACCCAGTGAGCAGACTATAACACACACCCGTGTTCACACACACAGGAGCTCCTGTACGCTGCCAGTGAAATGACAAAACAGTAAGCAATACATATAGCGGAACCAAGGGCAGAGACTGAGCTGGAATAAAGAAATCTGGAGGCTTAAACAATGAATTAAACAAATGCAAAGACAAAACAGCATCCAGGACACGATGAGCCTGCTGCACTGACAGCAACTCTCACAAGGTAACCCAGCCACATCCCAGTTCTAGGAAAACAAAAATGCATTCTTATTTATAGGCTCATTGATTAAAACACTAATACAAGAAATGAAACAACAGCAGAGAGAAGGTGGATGGCTCATTTCTGTGCACAGAAACTCATTGGACCTCCCAGCAGGCATGGGCTCAGGATGCCATAAAAGCACCATATGACGAAATGAGACAATACACTCCCCTTGCGCTTTTGACCCTGTTCAAAATGGAAATGCGCAGCAATGAGTAAAGGACTGGAATACACAGTTCTGCAAATCACATACCCAAGCGGGACCTAACACATGAATGTGCTCAATAGGACCAGTCACGAAGGAAAAATGAATGAGAAGTACAAGAGATGAGATTTTACATCCGCTGGGATCGCAATGATTTAAAAAGAAAGAAAAAAACAAGTACTGGCAAAAATTGGGACCTGGCTCCCTTGCACACTGTTGGGGCAAACATAAATGATGCAGCCAGGAGGGAAGACAGGAAGGTGATTCTTGGGAAAAGGGAACTCAGAATGACAGGAGGACCCCTCCCCACCCCGGGGTGTTCACCAATAGCAAGGACAGCAGGGACAGGCAGAGATGTTTGCTCACCTACGGTCACTGCACCATCATTACAGCCCAAAGCAAAATCAACCCAAGCCCCAGGTGATGGATTAATGGATAAATAAGACTGGTAGATACACATAAGAGATTATTAATGAGCCTCACAATGGAACTAAACAATGACACACACTACAATATGAATGCACTCCTGTATGATACCTATGAAATGACAAAACCGTTAACAATGAAATAAAATAAGAGATTCACCAAGAAAACAAGATGTAATAAGACTCCATTCATACAGGTCTGAGTTGTCAAACTCTTGAAAACAGAAAGTAAATGGTGGACACAGGGGCTGAGGGACAGAGCAGTTAGGAGCGAGAGTTTAATGAGTACAGTATTTTATTACTGGGAAATGAAAAAATCTGGAAGGTGGTGATGGCTGTATAACAAGGTCAGATACTAAAAGCCAAAGAACACCACATGCAATAACAGCAAAAGGAGAATTTTTATTTTACATTTAAATAAAGGGTCAGGGGCTATCCTGGTGGCTCAAAGGTAAAGACACTACCTATGGAGCTGTCCCGCAGCCACAGCAGCACGAGTTCAATCCCCAGCCAGAGAGCTACCCACATGGCGTGGCAGACCTCTCCTGACTCGCCCACTGTTCCCCTCAGCAGTGTATTTCAATAGATTTGCCTGTTCTGCTCCCCACTCTGTCTCTGGTGAATCCTCCCCCCTCCCACACCTCAGGCCCATACCCCAGTTTTTGTATGCACAAATAAGTTCATCTTTTAAAAAAAGAATGAATGAATGAATGAATGAATGAATGGAGGGCCACATTTACTAGGAAAAGGAGAAAAGGAAGCAACAGTCATGCTGGGCAGAAGAACAGCCACAGCTGCTCCCCACAGTGCAAAGGTTTATAAAATGAAACACTTGCATGGTCACAGGTGACAGAAGAGCTGGTAAAATTAGGTTGCAAAATACATTCATTCTATCAATATTCTATAAACATCTATCAAAATTAAAAAAATCTACCATTAACGGTAACTTCAGCAAGAATCATACATATGACAAATGCAAACACACCTACTATACTATACTCCAGACTCGATGACAGAAACCTGAAGCTCTTCATTAAAAACTACATTGAGCATCACTGACATAAATTCCCAACAACCAAAGGTCAAATGATGAACATCTGCGCTACCTGGTTTTACTCAGCGAGTGTCTGTGTCATGACCCTTGTTCAAACGTGTCCCACTGACCCCTGAGTACTTTCTCCCCCTGAACTCTGAGGTGTCACCACACCCTGGCCAGTCGGAGGCAGATAAGGGAGCAACCTCATCACTGAGAAAACTCATCCATCAGGTTTGGCAAGAATGAGAACTGTAATGTAAAAGAAAGTGAACACACACACACACACATGCACGCACGCACACACGCACGCACAGCGGTGCTGCTGTTAGCAACCATTAAGATATCAGGTAATACTGAAGAGTAACTTGCATTGGGTGAGACTAAACTCTGGAACAGAGAAATCCCTTTCTGGTGGCGGGAGACCTGGGCCGAGAAGGATCTAATCCCACACGGGAGGGCACAACACAGGACGAGGTTTGCATGTTACATGAGTGGCAGGTGCCATTGGGACGGCTACAGGCGCAGTCAGGTGGGAGCTGAGCCTGTGGTACTAGGCCTGCGAAGGAGGCCCACGCTCAAGTGTAACCGGCAGAAATGGCAAAACACAGTTGACTGACTCACTCAGGAGAAGTGCAGACTGAAGACGGGAGACCAGATCGGAACACAGGGACTAGCTACATTCAGGAGCACAAGATACTCAAGCATTCAGGGACACAGAAAAGAAATCATCAGAGAGACCATGACAGAAGCAAACACAAAGAAATTTGCATCTTCCAAAACACTGAAGACAGAGGAAAAAACTAACCAACACATACGACAAGGTCAACATTGCCCTGATCCCCCCCCAAAAAAAGACAGCATAAAAGGGAAAAAATAAACCAATACCACCAAAGAACAGAGAAGCGAAAATCCTCCACAAATTCCAACCGACTTAATACAGCAACATGGAGTCTCCCTGGTGAAGCAAGGGGTTAAGGCAAAGCACTATGAAGCTATCCACAGCCCCTGGAGCATGAGTTCAATCCCCAGTCAGGGAACTCACCCACACGGCACACCTGACCTCTCCTGTCTCCTTGCTGTTCCCCTTAGTAGTGTATTTCACCAGATCTGCCTGTTCTGTTCCCCACTCTGTCTCTGGTCAATCCTCTCACCCACCACATGTCTGGCCTGTACCCCAGCTCTTATATGGATAAATAAATCAATCTATAAAATTCCAAATGGATTAAATATTTGGTGATGTACTTGACAGAAAATATAGGGACACACTAAGGACGGTTGCCCCAAAGTGCACTAGGGAACACAACCCCAACACCCAGGGAAACAAAAGCAAAATTCAACAAGTGGGACACCACTAAACCTAAAAGCTTTCATACCTTAAAAGAAACCAGCCCCAAAACTGAAAGGCAGTCTACAGAACAGAAAAACAATCTGCATGCCACACATGTGACAAGGGGCTCATTCAAAAATTTATAACATCCCCAAACAATGCGAGAAACCAACTGATGACCAATTAAAAATGGACAAAGGGGGGCCTCCCTGGTGACACAAGGGGTTGGGACGCAGCCTATGAAGCTCTTCACAGCCTCTGCAGCGCGAGTTTGATCCCTGGCCAGCACTGAGCAACCCGCATGGCGCAGCAGACCTCTCCTGACTCCCCACTGCTCCCCTCAGCAGTGTGTTTCAGTAAGTCTGCCTGTTCTGCTCCCCACTCTGTCTCTGGCAAATCCTCTCACCCTCTGCACCTCTCGCCTGTACCCCGTTCTTGTATGCATAAATGAATAAATCTTAATTAAAAAATGGACAAAGGAACTATATACACTCTTCTCTAGAGAGGGAATTCTGACATCCTACAGACAATAGGAATGTTCACCTTATTTTAAGAGAAATGTAAATTAAAAGCACACTTAGATGCCACCTCACCCCTTGAGAAGGCCCAAATGAAAACGAATGGATTTATATAAAACGGGGGGTGAGGGGAGAGAATTTTATGGGGACTATAACAAAGATGTAAATGATTACACTGTGCAAAAATGAAAATGATGTAAAAATATGTAAAATAGTATTTAAAAAAGTGAAAACACTGAAAGAAAAAAAAAACAAATATGGAATGAACAACGCTGGAGAGGGCGCAGAGAAAAGGGAGCTCCCACCCATGGCTGGTGGTCATGACAGTCGGAACAGACCCTGTTGATGAGGGTGCAGAGGTTTCTTAAGGAAGTAAAAACGGAAATTCCATATCATCTGCAATACTTCTACACATTATCCTCACGGGAAAACTCAAACACAAAAAGATTTATCCCATCCGTGAGCAGAGCAGCTGTTGATTCCAACTGCCCAGTCATGGCCCAATCTACATCCCTTCGGCAGAGGCAGGGCAGGAAGGGTGGAGCACACGCAGGAGAGCACTGCAGGGCTGCGAGGAAGGAGCAAAGGGCCACACTGAGGATAAAATGGGTGAGCAAGTAGGTGATATTGTTTTTTTTTTTTTTAAAAAAAAAAAAGATTTATTTATTTATGCATACAGGAGCTGGGATACAGGCCAGAGGTGTGGGGGAGTAAAGTGAGAGGATTCACCAGAGACAGAGCCGGGAACAGAACAGGCAGATAGACCGAAATACACTGCCAAGGGACGCAGCAGGCCAGTCAGGTCTGCTGCGCCATGTGGGTAGCTCCCTGGCTGGCCAGGGAATGGAACTTGTGCTGCAGAGACTACAGACAGCCCCATCGGTTGCATCTCAACCCCTCATGCCACCAGGGAGGCCCCGGGAGGTGCTATTCTTGAGTGAAATAAGCCAAAAAGTAAAGACACATATGAGATGGCTTCACTCATCTGTGGAAAATAAATACCCAAAAAACATTTACAGCCAAAATACTTGAATAAAACTTGAACAGGGTTATTTGAAGGTAAAGATGACCACCAGAGGGAACAGGGAAATGGGTGAAGAGGTTAGGGAGGCAGGCAGACGGGGGATGGGCCAGGGTGGTTTGCTAGAGGGGGAAACTAGGGGTAGGGCAAGACCCATTAGGATTGTAGGAAAAAACTGGCAACTATTTCAGCAGAAGGCTTTTTGTGCTACACATGTCAATGACAGATCGAGGAGGGAAAATAAGTAAAAGAATAAGAAAAAAGTGTAAGAAGCTTTAAAACAATTAAAAAAAAAAAGAAATTTCCCAAAGGTCACACATGGTGTTCTCAAACATGGCAGGAACTTTTGGAGAGTGTAACTGGACTGGAGAGCAACTTAGGGTGTAGTGAGTGTCACTAGAAATGCATTCAGACCACACCAAGGAGAAATGCGCAGGAGTGGAAACAACGGCCAGAAAAAAGGACTCTGAAGAGTCTACTGGGCACCTTCGGTTTGCAGGCCACCTGAGAGAAAGGCAGGGGCAGGTATGTAAGGATCCCCCATTGGACTCAACGGCACACATGCCAAGACTGATGCCTGCATGAAAGTCTCCGAGAGTTGTGCAGGACACAGTATATGATTTTAGCTATTGCACAGAAACCTTAAAAATTTAGTTGGGGCCTCCTGGGGGGCGCAAGGAGATGAGCGTTGGGTTGTGAAGCTGCCCGCAGCCTCTGCAGCACCAGTTCGATCACCAGAGAGGGTCCCACATGGCGAGCAGACCTCTCCTGCCGCCCGCTGCTCCCCTCAGCAGTGTACTTCGTTCGGTCTTTCTGCCTGCTCTGCTCCCCGCTCTGGCTCTGGTGAATTCTCTCACCCTCCTGCGCTTCTGACTGTACCCAGTGCATGTATAAATAAATAAACAAATCTTGAAAAAAAAAATCAGTTGTCCTTTTTAAAAGACATGTGGCTCCTTCACCCCCATTCTGCACTCAGGTCCTCAGGCCCCATCCTCCTCCCTCACCCCGCACCTTACCAGCGCAGAGCTGGGAAGTGTTTCTGTCCAGCGGGGTGAAGAGCCACAGTCCACACCTTCAGCGTCATCAACCGCGACCCAGGTACAGACTCTGACTCAGCGCTGCATGAGCACCAGGGCAGAGCCCAATCTTCACACATGCTGGACATGTGAAGCGCCTGGATCTACGCCACACCTTTCTCTGGTGAGGAATGTGTCCCTGGAGAAAACTATGTTTCTAATTTACATGTCCATTGAGGTACTCCCATAAAGTCAATGCACCCCGAGCTGAAGCAAACACAGCACTCACCAGAGATTGGCCCATTGTCGCTGCTCTCACAGACGCGCGAGGGCTCTGGAGGCGGCGCTGGGAGGGGCGATGGGGTCCAGCACAGAGGACGGAGGCAGCTGCATGGGATCCTGGAGTCTCCTGGCCAGAGCCCGCCACACGCTGCCTGGAGACACCAGAGAGTCACTGCGGGTGACGGCCGTGTGACACTTCTAGCAGGGGCAGGAGAGGCCCCGCGAGTCCATTAGTGGCAGAACTTGGGTTTACGACTCACCATAACTTAACAAAAGGTGACACTGCCCACTCCCTGATCAACAGTCACGCCAAGAACAACAGTCTCAAAGCTGATGAGTCACGTCAGAGTCTGGACACGATTTCCAACGAGACGCCGAACGCACTGTTCTGCCAGGACACCCCGGCAGTGGCTCCATGCCTCCTCTCCATGGACACCTGGACAGTGACTTGGACCCCTGGGGTGCGCACTTCCAGGCAGGAGGCCTGAATGCAGCAGCCAGCAGGACGCCGCCTGGGGGCAGGAACGCAAAGCGCACCTGGAAATTCAGACAACAAGCCTCTAATGCCCCAGGAACTCCCCCCAACCCCCCTCCCAGCCCTGCAAACCCAGTTTCCCGCCGACCTCCCCGCCCCCACAGGGGCCGCCTCCCCTGGCAACCTGAGCAACTTCACCCGCCCACCTTGGGTCCGTGAATCTGGCCCCGGGCGCAATACAACCCCGCCCAAAAACGCAGCCTGGCTCTCCTCTCCCTCTCAGCCCAACTTTTGGGGGGCCCAGAGGAGTCAGCGCGCATGCGCACAGGCGGACCCGCGCTTCCCCAGGGCCCCCGCCTTGGGGACCCCGTCCCCCGCCCCGGGAAGACCCCGGGCAGCGTCCGGGGTCAGGGCCGGGCGGCCGCGCCGGGGACACCCCGGAAAGGCCGGGACGGTCTCCCCAACGGCCCTGCCCCGCCCCCACGCGCGCTCCGGGGGGAATCGGCTCCAAAGCGCCCGACTCCACGCGGCCGGAGCCCCCGCTCGCCCGCGCCCCCCGCTCCCCAACCCCCGGCGTCTCCGCTCACCCGAGCCCGGCCTCCCGGACAAAACCGCGCTCACCTCGGGGCGCCCAGCGCTCGCGGAGGCGCCAGAACGTTCGAACGGGTGGGGGCGGGGCCGCGCCTGCGCAGATCGCGGAAGCCCCGCCCAGAAACCTCCGCGGGAACCACAGGGGCTAGAGACTACATTTCCCACAACCGCTTGCGCAGCCCGTCGGGCCGTCGTCGGGGTGGGGTTGCGGCCTGGAAGTGGGAGGAGTGGAGGTTGAGGAGAACCGGCAGGTGGGCGAGGCCCGTGAAAACTGCGGGGCCCATAACGGGTTCAGGGCTCTGAGGGAAGAGAGCTCAACAGGGCCGCCCTGGGGCTGAAGGGGTTAAGCACCGCGCTGACTGACAAGCTATCTGCCCCCTCCACAGCAGGGAGCCTCCCACAGGGCATGGCAGACCTCTCCCTTCTTGCCCACTGCTCCCCTCAGTATTTCAGTCAGTCGGCCTGTGCTATGCCCCACTCTGTCTCTGGTGAATCCTCTCTCTCTCTCTCTCTCTCTCTCTCTCTCTCACACACACACACACACACACACACACACACACCCCCTTTGGCCTGCACCCCAGCTCTTGTATGAATAAATTTTAAAAATATACATAAGTTCACATACAGTCTAAATAAGACATTCAGATACCAAGACACATTTAATCAAAATCAACATTCAGGTATTTAAGAAGCATCTTGACCTTCTGATACCTGGATCACAGAGTCGGTGTTCAACATAAAGATGCTTTGCTTAGCTAATGTGAATGCACAAGAATTCTACGCTGTTATGAAAAGCTCACCTGCTCTTTCATCACATGCTTGTGAAGATTTCTTTTGGCAACAACATCCAATAATATTCATGGCTCCATTACTACCATGAAGAAACATGAGGATATTAATAAACTGTTAGTGTATTCCCTGAAGGAGAAAATGATGAAATGAGTTGAACTTCAGCACGTTTCCGTGTCTAACTTTTATGCCCACAATGAAGTCCACGACTCCTCTGGGTGATTTAGATCAATCTTTTCAGTCAGACACAAATAGCATATCCATTCAGATTTTCTTCATCCATGATACATGACACCATTGTAAATGTACCCAAGCAATTAAGATGTAAAGAAACTCATCAACTGGAGAGGATCCCTTAGATGTTTGACACACGAAAGTCAAATACATGACTCCACCTACATACCAGGAGAAAGCCATAGAGTGAAGTGATTTAGGGCTGAATTATATTCATCAGGTCTCTTCACAATATCTCAAGTATGGTTGATAAAAAAAGGACAAAGAAAATAACTATACAGGGCCCCAAACCATCGTCTTGAACTCTTATTTATTTTTTTAAAGATTGATTTTATTTATTTATGCATACAAGAACAGAGAGGTAGGCCAGAAGAGTACGGGGTGAGAGGATTTCCCAAAGGCAGAATGCAGAGCAGAACAAGCAGATTGACTGAAACACACTGCTGAGGGGAGCAGCAGATAAGTCAGGAGAGGTCTGCTGTTTCATGTGGTCAGCTCCCTGGCCAGAGACCAAACGATAGCTTCATAGTGCTGTGACTTAACCCTCTGCACCACCAGGAAGGCCCTCAGACTTTTCAATTATGCTAATACTTAGTGTTTTAATGTTGGCTTATGCTCCATAACAATTTTCTGACTTAAGGAATGTAAAGTGTTTCTCACTTCCTACTGTTTTGCAATATCTTAATATGAATCTAAATTGCATTATAAATTACGTAATCATATTTTCACTTCTTTCAAGTTTCCAGTATAAAATCTGGTGGCTTCAAAATTCATATTTGGACAAACCACTCATCACTTTCCATTTACAGTTTCTCTTGGTTTGCACTCTCTGATGTTTAGGATGATCTGACTTCTGTTAATCACTTTGACACTTCTGGTTAAACTTCTGGACTTCTGGTTAAAGACACCAAAGTTGGTACCTCACTGGTGGCACAAGGAGTTAAGACACAACTTATGTAGCTATATGCAGCCACTGCAGTACGAGTTGGATTCCAGGTCAGGTAGCTACCCACATGGTGCAGCAGACCCTCCTGTCTCGCCTGCTGCTCCCTCAGCAGTGTATTTCAGTCAATCGCCTGTTCTGTTCCCCACCGTGCCTCTGATGAATCCTATCACACACACCCACCTCTGGCAGATACCCCAGTTCTTGTATGCATAATAAAATAAATCTTGAAAAAAAGAGACTAAAGTAAAAAAAATTGACTTCACAATTTAACATTTCTCTATGATGTGAATTCTCTAATGTAGAGTAACACTTGACTTGCGGTGAAAGGCTTTGCCACATTTTCACATTTTAAAGTTTCTCCCAGTATGAATTCTGTGATGTTGACTTAAATGTGATGGATGGTAGAAGGCTTGCCTACATCTTCACATCTGGAAGGTTTCTCCCCTGTATGAATTCTATGTTGTCGAGTAAGACATGACTTATTGTTAAAGGCTTTGCCACATCCTTCACAATTGTAAGGTTCCCCTCAGTATGAATTCTGTGATGCTAAGATAGTTAAAGGCTGACAGTTGGTTAAGGCTTTCCACATTCCTCACATCTGTAAGGTTTCTCCCAGTATGAATCCGATGTCGGGAAAGGTGACACAGCACAGGATGGTGTTACCACAATCAGGATGCGTGTAGGCTTTTCTCCAGCATGAATCCTTAGATAGTTTGTCAGCTGTGGATGCCAATTCAAGGCTTTACCATGCTCTTCACACTTGTGAGGGTTTCTCTCTGTGATGTCAGTAAGTCTTGGGCACCATTTGGTAGCTTTGCCATATCCTTTACAATTGTAGAGTTTCTCATGAAGTACATGATGCTGGAAAAGTATTGAGGACTCCTCAATAGGATCCTGTGTAGATTTTCATCTTCCTTCTAATTCTCCTGATGTTGAGAATGACATGACTGAAGTTAATCTATCCCACATTGACAGTGTTTTTGAATAATCATTTGCATTATGGACTAGGGGACTTCCCATATGTTCCAACATTCTTCTCAGAGACTGTGTATTGTTAAAAATGTCACATGGATCTTTGCTAACAGAAACATATTTATCTCTACCTGCAACAGACATAAAATGGAGTTTTACCCAGCGTGGTTTACACTCAGGATCACTTTGTACAGGAGGAATTGTGTTATGGATAATTGTCCCTTATTGGGAATCTTCATTGCAACAACTGTTGTGCCCTTCACATGCCTCTTGACATGTCTGGTCTATCAATAATTGTAAATTCTCAAAGGTGCCAATTTCCATCTCCTCCCCGGTCCCACATTTAGCAACAAATCTTCTGTGCCTGACTGTGGCATGCAGAGACAGGGCAGGAAGACAAATGAGGAATAACTACCCCACCACAGCACTCAAGACAAAATACTTTAAATATTGAAGACATAAAATTAATACCATATAAAGACCCCTGACATGATGTTTGGATAGGTAACATCAGCACTAGACAGCAACACCATGCTTATGAATAGGTAACGTCCTTAGGGAAAGGTAATACATAGCAAATACTAGATATAACCCTATAGTAAAAATATTGTTCTGCTTCAGAATTTGGAAAATATGGCACAAAAAATATCATAGATTCATGTTATAGAATACATATCATGAGAATATATTTGTGATGTCAGTAGGGGTGAAATGTTAAAGAGTGGAGTTTTGGTATGCAGCTGAATTTACATGGTTTTCCACTTTAGAGAAAAGACTGTCATAACTATTCAACATGCTATGGAATGCCCATGAGAAAAAAGATTACGTAAAATACATGGAAAGAAATGAAAAACAGAGACTGATGTTATGTGTACATAGGTTGGTATGACAATGCTTTACAATGTTTGTAAATAATATTACAAACCAACTACCTCCATTAACATCAAAATGTGTGAAAGTGGAGGGAATCACCAACAAGAAGGAGAGAGGATTAAAGCATATAAGAAAAGGTCAAAAAATATACAGTGATGCAGTAGGTTGGAAATGGGGTATAAAATGCTGAGAATACTGCATCCGCAGTGGCACAGC